TTGGTGTCTGCAGAGTTCTTTCTCTCACATACTCTCACTCCTCTCTTTGGTGGCAGATTCACAGTTTTCTTTTTCCCCTTCTTAAATACGTTACCATGAGGTGCTACCGCTGTCGCTGATGGGCTTGGCCTTGGCCAGTGGTGGGTTGGTGTCTGCAGAGTTCTTTCTCTCACATACTCTCACTCCTCTCTTTGGTGGCAGATTCACAGTTTTCTTTTTCCCCTTCTTAAATACGTTACCATGAGGTGCTACCGCTGTCGCTGATGGGCTTGGCCTTGGCCAGTGGTGGGTCTAGTTGAGGTAAAAAAAATAGACATAAAAACCCCAAACAATTACAGATTGTGCACCCCCACTCTGATAAAGCTGAGGTGAAATTTTTTGATAGATTTATTTGAAGAAGAAAAAAATACTACCTTTTTGTTCTGTGGGTTTTTAATTACAGGTTTTTATTTTCCTGATCCAGAAAAGCAAGAAATACAGAAGTCTTAAAATACTCACACCGCAAGAAAAGCACTTCCCCGTATCTCTCATGAGGAGGCAGTTGCTTTAGATAAAAACACGTGGTCCATAGAGAGCGCGGTCAGTACACTGCGTGCTGCGTCGTGGGCCGCACACACCTCTGCACCTGCTCTTCTTTTACTAAAGGTCGTGGCACCAGCTAAGCTGCCTCTCTCCCTTACTGGATTACTTTATCTGATTGTTAATTATTTTCTGTTAATGTCCCACTTCACAGGAAATCTTGCTCGATGGGTCCTTCTCAGCGGTACTGTCCTTCGCATCCTGCTTGCAGTGACTTGTCGTTACTTGCATCAGACAGATGCCACCTTTGGTAACCGACTGCAGCAGCAGTTACTTTTGCAGAGATGAAATGGGAAAGGTTAGACAAGCAACAGGGAGCAAGGACTGATGGGGGGTTTTTCTTGGGACTTACTCCGCTCTCGTAAGGCCCCACCTGGAGTACTGCGTCCAGTTCTGGAGCCCCCAACACAAGAGAGACCTGGAGCAGCTGGAAGAAGTCCAGAGGAGCCCACGAGGATGATGCGAGGGCTGGAGCAGCTCTGTTGTGAGGACAGGCTGAGAGAGTTGGGGCTGTTCAGCCTGGAGAAGAGAGGGCTCCAGGGAGATCTTATAGCGGCCTCCCAGTACCTGAAGGGGCTACAAGAAAGCTGGGGAGGGACTTTTCATAAGGGCAGTTAATGACAAAACAAGGGGAAATGGGTTTAAACTGAAAGAGGGGAGGTTTAGATGAGATATTAGGAAGAAGTTCTTCACTGTGAGGGTGGTCAGACACTGGAACAGGTTGCCCAAGGAAGTTGTGGCTGCTCCTCCCTGGAAGTGTTGAAGGCCAGGTTGGCTGAGGCTTTGAGCAACCTGGTCTAGTGGAAGGTGTCCCTGCTGCTGGCAGGGGGGTTGGGACTGGATGATTTTTAAGGTCCCTTCCAACCAAACTATGATTCTATGATTTTAAGCCGAAACAGATTTCAGCCTTTTAATGCTGTGACATACTGTAGAAGAAGAATGTCTCTTAAGATTTCAGAGCTGGCTTATGCTGGTTTAACTGTAGTGTTAACAGTTTAGCAGCATCATTCCTTCTGAAGATGAATTGCTTTTGGTTTTGGGTGGCTTTCAGTCAATCCTGACCCTCTGCATAGCTGTGTGGTTGCAGGGGTTGTCCCAAGGGTTTGGGCAAGAGCTGGTGGTTTGGAGGAGGACAACACGGGACCACATTTTAGAGTAGTGAAGCAGTCTTAGGTTAGGCAAGGTTAACCATTAGATTGCCTTAGCTGAAGTGACTGCTAGGGAAACCAGTGGATGTTTGCATGGTGAAAGAGACTGGAGAACTGATGCAGGCTTAACCAACCTGAGAGGCAGCCCAAGCAATGGAGAAATAGTGGGATCAAGTCTTCCAGCACCAGAACTGGCTTACTGTGCTCTACATGGCACACAGGGCAAGAGTCGGGATGTTTGAGCTGTTGAACAGATTTTGTGTGAGGCTGTGGCACAGCCAGTGTCCCTGTTTGGAGCTTTGTTCTTTGTTGCTTCATGCTGATGCTGGAGCTGGGAATACCAGAGTCCTGGCCTGCAATCCCAGCTGAGAAATGCTGGAAATGACAGTGAGAGGAATTAATGTGTGAAGACTTCCCATCTGATTTTGGAGAGTGATGATTTCAGGCATGAGTTTATCTGAACAGAAGAGTCCTGGTGGTACGTGGATTCCTGTTTGGCCTGAGCAGGATCTCCCTCTGAAGCTATGTGAGCGTTTTCTGTGGGGCTGGCTATGCTGACTTGGGTTTTGTGGCATCTTGAGCTGTGCAGTGAGTCAGAAAAGGCCTGTCACTGGGCTGCTAACTGACTCTGAATGGTTTAATCACAGAAACACCTCCTTTGCAGGAACTGGGAAGAGTAGGGCTTCCCTTTTTGGCTGTGGTGTGGTTTTAGATCAGCCAAAGCCGCCGTGCTCTGAGTTTCTATGTATCATAGAGAGAAGTTGTTTCACTCCTCCCTTGAAAGCAGAGGTTAACTGTATTTTTGAGCAATCTGAGAGGAAAAGATCAGATGAGGAGCCTGAAACCTGGCTGTGTTGCATCAGCCCTTATACTGAGTCTTGGTTTGTACCACTGCGTGTGTTGTGAGCTGCTTGCCCTTTGGCTCTGGCCAGCAGCACCCCAGATTTCAGGAGCAGGACACTTGCATTAACTGTATTTCATTTCTCATCCAACACCTTTAGGTAACTTACACCAGAAACAAGAAGTATGCGAAGATGTGAGTGCCCAGACATCTGTGCCAAAAGGTAAGGCTGGAACAGACCCTGGGGTGCTATGCTGTTAGAGTTTATCTTCTCTGCCCATGGGCTGGGCAGGGCTGCAAATGTCCCACGTGTGGGCCACAGCACTGGCAAGGTGTGAGGAAGCCACTGCAACTTCAGGTTTGATTTTTCTGTTCTTGGTGCTTTCCAGATGAACCTCCCCTGTTTCGTTCTCTCTCCCTGAATTTCAGATAAGCCCTGTTGACACTGACTCTGCTAAGGAACTTGCTTATTTTAGTTTCTCTAGCCAAGGGACTCTCCCACCCACTCTGCAAAATCCCCCCTTTTTGCACTTGTAGTGTGGTTGGCTCATTGGTAGGTGAAGGAACTTGGTTTGGCTTTTCAAGAGCGAGCAGAAAGACTATTCAGCAGTTGATCCAGCAGCAACCGTTGCTGAGTTGTCAGAATAAGAGCTTAAAAGAACAGATAGTAGTAGTTCTAGGGCTTTCTTCAGAGGTGAATTTGGGACTGAGGCCTTCCTGCTCAGTGCACATCATGAAACGAGGGGTTTGTTTTCAAGATCCCTCCTCTTCTGCCAGCACTTTGCGAAGGCATCCATCACTCAAGTGTCCATCAGAAGCCTTTGGTGCAATGTGAAAATACTGAAGGTATGTGCCACCACTGAGCGATGTCCCTGGACCCTTATGTAACAGCTGCTGGCATAACTGGAAGCTGCTGAATTTTTAGTTGCCTTCTCAGTCACCAGGTATTCAGTTTCCAGAAGATGAAACAGCAGCTCAGGTCCTCCCCATGTGAAAAGTGTCACAGCAGAAAGAGAGAAGGTGTGATTCTGGAATCTGGCTTTGCCAGAGGAGAAATGGTGGAGGTAGCAGCAAAAGGAATCCAGATTATCACAGAAAGCTGCCATCAGTTTTCTTTGTCCTGCTGCAGTGTGTGCTGGGGGACTATGGAGCAGGAGGAAATGAAGCCTTGTGTTCTCCAGGCTGCAGTGTAGAGGAGTCACTGAGCCAGGACCCTGGGAGTGCAGGCACTGTAGTGTAAGCCTTGTGTCCTGTAGAGGTGCTTAATGTTGGTGGCAGGGAGTGGGAGTGGTGCTGGATTGCCCATTGGTGAAAAACAGATGATTTGAAGGAAAAGCTGCTCTTAATTTTTTTCTGGCTATGTGAATTTGGGAACTGGCTAAAGCTCACACTCACAGCAGCAGGAACTTCTTGCAGAGCTGGCTCTGCTTCTTGCTGAGGTTTGCTGGTGCCCTCAGTACCTTATAACTTGTATGTTTGCATCTGCTGTTTGCATTCCCTGCTCCTGGCCAGACAGAGGTAGGCTGAGCAGTGAGCACTCCCTACCTTGCCCATCTCTGCTGGTGTTACTCATTATAAGTAGTAGCTCCCAGCCTACCCTTTGCAGTCCCAGGTGTTCATACGATCACAGAGACACTTTTGCCTCTGTTTTTCACTCAGAAATCCTGCTCCTGAGTCCCAGCACTGCTAATACTGTATCTCGTGTGTCACATGCGGTTCTCAGATCTTGAAAACTGAAGTGACCTTGCTCTTCTGCAGACTGGTGCTGCTAGCTGCTGTGCCACCCTAGTGAGTAGACAGTCGGTCTCACCAGTTCCTGGTGGGATAGAAATTTGTAAATAGTGCTAAAAGTTACTAGAACCAGTTAAAGGAAAGTCTTGTGCCTCTCTCAGCTCTGCCCATTCTCTCAGTCTGAGAGCACACCATAAACAAACAGGGAATTAATCACCATAAACAGCCCTGGGAATCTGTGGGCTGTGTGTTCCCCAGAAGCAGCTGTTCCCTGCCCTGTTCCCCAGGGTAACAGAGCAGTTCCTGTGTTCAAAGTATGGCAAATGCATCACCCAGCCTACAGAAAGACTCACCAGTGAGATGGTTGTGGTCAGTCTCGGAAAATGCAGGGCAGCTTTTCACAGCAGTTTATGTAGCTCCTTCACACGGTGCTGAGCTTGTGGAGACTGACCTGGCAACTGGCTTTGCTCACGAGGAAACTTTCTGTAGAGCTGTATCTAGTCACTGATATATCCTGCTCCTGCTTTCTTTCAGGTCCATCACATGGGTTTATCCTGCTTTGGGTGGACTTAAATCCTGCGGGGGAAGGGAGAGCAATTGAAATAAATTGGGCTGTGGGCTTTGCTACAGTGTGCAGCTGGGATATGTGGTACTGCTGTTGGGTTTATCTCGGTCTCAAATCTGCCAAGCTTCTTTTATGTGCTCAGAACCACTTCCTCCATGCCCTATGTAACTTTGCAGTGCTTGTGGTATAAGTCTTTGGTTAGACTGTAGCCTGTAATGTTCTCTCTATTCTGTATGCTCCTCCAAACCCAGTATTACACATACCCCATTTTTTTTTTTGCCTTCCAGCAGCTGTGCTGCCAGTAGGGTCATTTCCTAGGATGCTTTGTCATGGGCTGTTAGGATAGTTTTTTGCTAAGGTTCTGTCACTACTTATCTCTGTGCTTCTAAGCAAATGAAGGGATTGAGCAAAAGGATCTGAGCATCATTTGCTAAACTTAACACATTTCTTGCAAAACATGCCTTTTAAAATTCATATTGTTTCCTGTGAAGATTTTCAAAGCCAGGCTTCCACCAGCAGCTTGTACCTCCCTATTTCTGATATCCCAGGTGCTATGTCCCAGGTCCCTCTTAGGACAAGAGGGAATGGCCTTAAGTTGCACCAACGGAGGTCTAGGTTGGATTTTAGGAAAAAAGTCTTCACTGAAAGGGTTGTAAAGTATTGGAACAGGCTTCCCAGGGCAGTGGTGGAGTCACCATCCCTGGAGGTATTTAAAGGACGTGTAGATGTGGTACCTGGGGACATGGTTTAGTGGTGAACTTGGCAATGCTGGGGTTACAGTTGGACTAGATGATTGTAATGGTGTTTTCCAACCAAACTGTTCTATGATTCTGTTGGCTGAGAATGGTAAGATTTGGATATTAACAGCTCTGTGAAGTGCAAAGTCATGTTCTGATATTAGATAAATGTTGAATCTTGTTAGCTGATCATGTGTCCCAGGTAAGTGGAAGGTCCTGCTTGATTTCTCTGCAAAAACACTCAAGTGGATAGAACAGGGAGGTAGCAGATCACACTGGCAGGCAAGATTGATGTTATCCACTAGGAAAATCTATGTAAGTAACCTGAAGTTGTTGGAATGAATTGCCTGGAGAAGCTCAGGGAGCTCCTTACTGAAGGTCTCTAAACCAGCCCAGACCCCTTGGTTGATCCTGAGAGCTGGAGTGGAATAAGAGGATGGATTAGCCTGATGAGGACCAGCCCAAGCTGTCTTTCTATAGCTAGATGCACTTCTGCTTTTACTTCAACATTTGCAAAAGCAGTTCTGTAAACTCACCCTGAATTTGCCAATAGTTTTGTCCTCTAATTTTGCCTCTTCAGCTCCCCAAGTGCTTTGCTGGAGAGTCTTGCCCAGCTTTAATAAGCTGCCATTCAGAATGCTCTTTTCACATGTTTCTGACTTTTTCATTTTCAGGATTTGCTCGACGTCGCCGTTGCAGCAGCTCTGTGAGTGACAAGGACGTTAAACAGCAACGACTAGGTATGTAGATGTTCCAGAAGCAGAGCAGTGGTGTGCTGAGGAAGGACCTGTTTAACTTCTTTGCAGAAACGCCCAAAAAATCAACCTCCTGCATTGAGAGAAACTTTTGTTTAGCTGCTGCATAAACTCTTAATGCAACAGGTTATAAAATATTATAGACAATGGGACCTCGCAAATAACAAGGCATCCATTTCCATTTCAGAGATAGATTAAACCTACATGAGGAGAAGGGATGCAGATGGCATAGGTTAAGAACTCCTTTAAAGTGTGATATGCTGGTAAAGCATTCAGTTATAGGTCAGGAGACATACTGACAATTTAAAACCCACTAAAGGCTCCACAGTTTCTCTAGCACATTAAAAACTCATATGGTTTCAGCTCACCCTAAAGTAAGAGAAGTAACTGAACGGATGAGTGACGACACAGCCGAGCCAAAATAATTCCAGGAAAGACTGGGTAGCATGGTCAGACCTGCAGGCTGTGTAACACCAGTGTCAGCATCCTTCATCATCTGCCCTTCTTTACCCTTTTGTACCTCTGCTTTTAGCCTTGCAATCCCCATGGTCCAGTAGTGCCCAGTGTCTGGTGGGAGAACACAGGGAGTATGGCAAAGCTGGCAGCCAGTTTTTGACCGAAAGCTTATATATGGGGAAAGTCTTGAGCAGACCAGATCTTATTATCCATTGACAAAACTCATCAAACTTTACAGCAGTGAGGACAGGGTTTTTCAGAAGGTGCTGAGGACTCTTAATTATCACCACTGTTCTCTTTTCAACAAAGAGATGCTGTTACCATCAGGGATCTCAAATTCTCAAAGCAAAAGGTATGTCTGTTCTGAGGTGCAGGTAGCTGAGCAAGGGTGGCTGCAAGACCAGCATGGGTGAATGGGTGGGCAGTGAACAAGGAGTTATATGCATAATACACCAATACCTACTTCTCATCTTAATGAGATAACAAGATTTGGGTTCTATATTGTTATAGTTTAACTTAGCTGGCAGCCATGCCCCCTTCCCCCCCACTCAGGGAATCCAGGAGAGAATTGGAGGGGTAAAGGTGAGGAGACTTGTAGGTTGAGATAAGAACAATTTGATAATTAGAGTAAAATAAAATTAAAATAATAAGAATTTTTTTTATATATATATGAGTGATGTAGAGTACAATTACTCACCACCCACTGATCATGATCCTAGAGGAGCAAAAAGGAACCCTGAAACCGAAATCACAATCCTGGAAAAGTGAACCCAAGGGATTCCTGAGAGAATCCCACCCTTTCTGGTCAATCCCAGTTAATATGCTAAACATGATGTGTTATGATCTGGAATATCTCATTGGCACATCCAACTGTCAATTCTGGGTTTTACTAACTACTGCACTTTTCTTCTCCACCCTGCCCCCCCTCTTTCCAGTCCTCTGTTCTTGGAAACTGCCCCAGCACAGTGTCCTTGTAGTTATCAACATTTCTTCTCATAACAGTCCTCACTGAAACCAAAACACGGTGCTTTCTAGCTACTGAGAAGAAAATTAACCCTATCCTAGCAAAAACCAGGGCATATATAAAGCTGTTTCATCTTTTCCCCTGAATTTTCTTCTTCTTCAGCTCCTGTGCAAAAATAGGAAAAATGGTGGATTATTTGGCATCTACCTGTCCCTGCGGAGCAGCCTCTGATCAGGGCCAGTGTTTCTCTGTGTGTAAGTGGTAGCATTCTGGATCTGTCACGGCTCAGAACTAACTTTTTCACCCATGTACTCATTTTGTCTTCTCTCTCAGATTCAGCTGAAAAGTACCGGCATCTCCTCATCGATTCTATCCGCCAGAGATACGGAAGCAGGAGAGCAGCAGGAGCAGCAGCACAGGAGCAAACACAGCCACTGTCTTTCAACCAGGCTTTTGTCAACCTTGTCATTCGGCAGAGCAAAGCATCCCGCTTAAAAGAGAGAACAGATAAACCCCGAGAGGATATGGCAGGTGCTCCTGAACCAGAAGAATGTGCAGATACAGCCATGAAAGTTTCAGATCTGTTTCATAGTGTGGTCTCATCCAGCACAAAGGTGATTTTTTTGTTTGGTAAACCAGGTACAGGCAAGACCATGCTAATGCGCAGGATTTGTCAGAAATGGGCAGAAGGGGTCCTCCCTCAGTTTCTCTTCACTTTCCTGTTTGAGTTTCGGCAGCTGAATTTATTAAAAAGAAAATTGACTCTGAGGGAACTTTTGTTTGACCTATTCCTTCAGCCAGAAGACAGCCCTGATGCAGTGTTCCAATACCTCTTGGAAAATGCCTGGCATACACTGATCATCTTTGATGGGCTGGATGAGTTTGCAGATAACATGGACGTGTCATCCTCTTTTAAGGGAGACCCAGCTCCTACCTCCCGTGTGTCCGTATCCAAGCTCTTTGCAGACCTCTGCCGTGGGAAGCTCCTGCCTGGTTGCACGGTGTTGGTCACCAGCCGACCTAAGAGACTACCCAGTTTCTTATTAAACACAGTAGATCTGCTAGCAGAAATTTGGGGATTTGACCATGAGAAGGTTGAGGAATACGTTAGCCACTATTTTCATCGGCATTCATTCAAAGAACAAGCCATTGCTCACCTGAAGAACAACACCAAGCTGCTCAGCATGTGCCTCATCCCTGCTCTGTGTTACGTTGTCTGCATCTGTTTGGAGTATTTGCTCCTTAAACATCAGATAAGTGTGGAGCTTCCTCAGACTATGACACAGTTCTATATCAAAATGCTTCTCATCTTCATAAACAAACAGCAGGGAGAGCATGCAGGTGGTGAAGTGGCTCAGCTGAACTGTAACAGGAAGGCCATTCTGAGTCTGTGTGATCTTGCACTGAAAGGCCTGGAAGATAAGAAGCTTGTATTTTATGTTGGTGATATTCCAGAGCATGTGAAGGAATTTGCTTCCTTACATGGATTACTGTCTGTCTTTGAGGTGAAGACAAGTGGGACTTGCCCAGAGGCTGGCTATGCTTTTGTACACTTGAGCTTGCAGGAGTTTTTTGCAGCACTGTGTCTCATGGTAAGTGAGAGGGTGGACAAGAACTACCTGAAGAAGAAGTTTTCTTTGAAGTCAAAGTGGATTTTAAAGAATGAGGCAAAGACTGAGTTCATGGAGAGTTTTCACATCTTTCTCTCAGGCTTGTCGTCAAAAGAATGTAGGACCTTTCTCATGCTGCTAGCTGAACAAGATGAAGCTTGGGTGCAGGATAAGCAGGATGCAATCCTGCAGTCTCTCAAAAAACTGGCAGCCACTCATCTGACAGGACCTAAGGTCATTGAGCTCTGCCACTGCACATTTGAAACACAAGACCTCAAAGTAGCCCAGCATATTGGGGGCCTGCTGAATTTCAAGTACGAGTTTAAAAACTTTAAACTGACACCTCTGGACATGTCAGCTTTGGTTTTTGTCATAAACTCGGGCCAGAATTTGACTCAGTTGGATTTTGCAGGATGTCTCATGGACATTGACTGTTTGGAGGTTCTGGCTGTCTGTAAAAATGTAGAGCACTTGAGGTAAACACACTGAGTGCTGTGAGCTGGTGGGTGAAGGGGCTAAGGGGCGGGAAGGGCAAGCCTGGTTTTTATTTCAGAATTTTCAGAAGGGAGAGGAAGATGATGTGAGCAATTCTGATCTGAACAGCGTAACTTTGATACTGAAGAAATGTATGAAATAATGAATTTCTGAGGGATTGAAGGATATTAAGGTGATAAATCCATTCTGGCTGTATTTTTTTGTATGTTTCTTAGTTTTGATTAAAGCAATCCAACAACAGGGTAGTTAGGGTAGTAGATAAGAGAGAAAATGATAGGCATTTCTTGGCAATACAAAGGCAGGACGAATCTTGCAAGCAGATGAGAAAGTTGTGATCTGAGTGAAATCCCCATGAAGCAGATGAACCGGAGATGACAACTGCACTTTAAGGTGCTCACTATCAGTGCTTTGCTGTAATGCTGGAAGGGCATTTCAAGGAGGATCTTTTGGGATCCTGCTGTGGAATGGGTTTCATTCTGTACTTCTATAAATGACTTGGAGGAATATGTGTAGATTTTGCTAATGTGGAGAAGATGGGGAACAGCCAGGATGAGAATTACCTTGACCTGAAGGGAATGGCATTGTCTGCTGTGAAGTAGAGGAGCATAAAGAGAGACATGAAAACTGCTGTTCCTGGATATTGATGTTGTTGTAAAAAGGGCAGTAATCAATGGTTCTCTGCCCCCACTAGGAAGAATAGGAATACCATTTAATTTACTGTTAGAAAGCTTTCTGATGATACATCCTAACTAAATTGCTAATGCAGTCACAGAGCAGTACACAGAGTCTTCTGCTTTCAAAGAGCAGATTAGGCAGATGCCCGAGGCTGGTCAGGCTGTTCCCTTGCATTAGGAGAATGGAACAGGGGATTTTGGGGGCTTCTTACTCTGCTGATACACATGCAGGTCCGTGCTTGCTTTTGGTTATGGTCCACAGGATATGAGCACTCTGAATGCTGTCTCTTGGAGTGACAGGCAAAAGGCAGTGGGACCCCAAGCATTTCGGCTGCATGTGGCTTGTACAGAACCTGTCTAAAGAAGAAGCATCACCTCAGGCATGTTCCTGATGACCATGGGCCATGTCTGTCTTGCCACTGCACCTCTGCAGCTTGTTCCTGTCTCTGGTTTAGGGGAGGGTGGCAGAGGCACTTGGGGAAACAGGGCCATAGGTGGGTTTCTGCTCTCATGGCCCTCAGAAATGCTGTGGAAATCATGTAACCCCGGGGGCTTTGTACCAATACGTCCCATAATCAGTACATCCTGCAGCTGATTCAAAGGAGAGCTTGTGTGCCTGAAAGCTTCCCTGTTTGTCTTTCCAACACCACCAGTTCCTTCTATAAAAGAGATGCTTTCCCTAAAAACCTTGTGTCTTTTTTATTTTGGACAACTCCAGCTACTCTGCTACTCAAAATTAAAGTATATCTGGCCAGCAGCTCATCACATGGGAGCTGTTAGACACCATGTTTGTGTGAGTTTGGTTTGCCCCTGTGTGACCTGGCCTCGTCTCATGAATGGGTCTCCAGTGTCCTGACCCTGGCGGGACATGCAATAGGGCTGACTCTTCATCTGTAGCAACTCTTACACATGGTGTCACTGATCCAAAAGGCAGAAGCTGTCTCTTGAGGTATTTGCAGGTGGTGTGCAAGTTTAATGTGTTCTTTTAAAAAAAACCCAGATCTTTGAAAAGATAAAGATGCTGCCAAAAAGAGCATGACACAATGGCTGTTAAGAAAGAAATTCAGTGCTTTTCTTTTAATCATGTTTTAACCTGCTCTGTGGGCTAGCTTATTTTGGGTTTTGATGTGTTTACATATTTCCCCTTCTCTTCATGTTTTAGCTTTCGTAGTAGGAGATGTGGCGATGACTTTGCTGCTGCTCTTTCGAGGAGCTTACGAGGAATGGGGAGCCTGAAGAAACTAGAGTAAGTCTTTGCTTGTATGGTCAGAGCCTTCTCTTTCTGTTTGTCCTGTTTCTGTCTTGCAGTTTAGTTACATCTGTTCCCTCAAGACTGATCTGCTCTGTGTAGCACTTTATAGAGAGTTGTGCAGAGCAGCACGGATATGTGTGGCTCTTGTTTCCTGCTGGTATCAAGAAGACTATTGCATTGCCCTGGTTGAAAAGGAGGATAAAGTTGGTTGCAGGTGGCAGAGTCAGACCATGTTCTCTCTGTGTTGGTGTGCTGGGAGCGCGGCACAGGCCCACGGCAGGGATGCTAGTCCTTCCTCCGCTTGGTTTGAGTGATTCTTTCTTTTTCCAGGTTAACAGGTGGGAGTATCACAGCTCAGGGGATGACTGACTTGGTCCAGGCTTCATCACGATGCCTTCAGCTTGAGGAAATCAAGTGAGTGTGTTGTGGCAATACCCCTCAAATCAAGTGCTTATTCCTTGGGGGCCTGGTGTACTAATGAGAATGAATCTGTGTGCAGCTTGCAGGACAATCGGATACGGGATCTAGAGGTAAAGAGGGTGATGGACCTGTTTTCCAGAATGGAAAAGCTGAAGACAATAGAGTGAGTAAAAGTGACTTAAACCCATTAAACATGGTAGCCACTATGAAGCCAAGCATAACATCAGAGGGAGTTTAAATTGTCATCAAAAGAGAGTTGCTGGATGTCTCTGTAAGGGGTGATACTCACTCTTAAAGATACCAGTGGGGGACAAGTGGGGCACTAAGCTTGAGGCACAGACATTTAAGTGCAAGCAGGGCTGTGCAGGTGGCTTGGCTCAGTTTGAGATAGACTCAGCCTCACAGTTCTTACCCAGTGGTGCTAGGCAGTCCTGGCACCACTGACACCTCTCCAGGAACTACAATGCATGTGCTTAACTTCGTGCCTGACATGACTTTTTCCTCTTCTGCCTTCTCACCTCTTTTTGCCTTGGTCAGACTCAGATGGAGATGCCTCTCTGCATGAGAGAGGATGGCTCCATCCCTGTCTTACCAGCCTTTTTGTTAGCCCTGTTCTCCTCTACTCCTTCTAACACTCCTGTAACAATGCAGTGCTGAATGAGAGGGACTGACTGCTAGGAAAACTCCCAACATGGATCTGTATCTTTCTAGGTGGAGAGAACCAGCCTGATTTGTGAAGGTATTTTAAAGCCTTTGAAGAGCTAGTGGGGCAGCTTAAGCAGCAGCAGGCAGAGCAGAGCAGAGCAGAGCTGCTCCAAGTGTTGGAGTCTTGGTGTAGTTTGTATTACAGGAGAGGGATAGCCACAAAGCTGGGCTGCCCCTGGGAAAGGCAAAGCCACAGCACTGCCTGCCCACCCATTAAAAGGGAGAAACTCTGCCTTTAAAGGTCTTTCTCGTATGACCTTTTCCCTTGGTGCATGCTGGTGAACCCAAAATACCTGCAGTTGTTGCTGGACCCCATCCTGGAATTAATTAGTGGCTTTGCAGTATGGTTAGAAGTGACTAAAAGCATGTTGGAAGGAGGGAGGAGAGGGGGAATGTACCTGTTCCTCTGCTTTTCTGGGCACACTGGATACCAGTTTGTGGGACACTGGGGTCCAGCATGTCCCCAGTGAAGCAGTTATCATATGGAAAAGATAGAAAACCAGGACAATTTGTAAGCCTCATTCCTTCACACATTTCTATTACACACAGACAGGAATCATGGATGATTCCTTTGAGGCTCACAGAAATGGTGCTCTGTGACCCTGAGAATAAGCAGCAGATTTGTGGAACGTTTCATATTTAACGAGATTCAGCAAGTAGTAACGGAATAAACATGCAATTAAAGAATAAGTTCTTAGAGGCTGCTAGTATTGTGTCTTTGGGGATGTTTTAAATGTGAGGGTTTAGACCACACTACTTTAATAAGCCATATTTAAATTGGATTTGTTATAGCAAGAGTTTGACTACACTGTGGGCTGGTTGTGTATGAAGTACATTCCCTACATATCCCCAAAACAGTTAATGATTCTTCTGTTGCACATAGAGGAAGCCTCTATGATTTTAAATTCATGAGAGCTTTAGCTTGCAGAGAAGAACTATAATCTGATAATGCTTTTGTTGGGTCCTAAATGCAAAATTCTGAAGTTTTTGTGAAATCTCCTAACTAAAAGAATGTGTGCTTCGGGGTATTTGGGTGCAGAGCAGAGGGTATTTGCATAACAAAGGAGTGTGCTGTTGGGTCCAGCAGCTGAGGTTGTGCTCTTCCCCATGTTCACAGTCTAAGCAACAACAGTCTTTCCTTGAATGCTGTTCTCACGTTGGCAAAGGAAGTCATCGCCTGTCAAAATGCCACTGAACTGTGTGTCAGGTATCGATGCATGACAGCTGTTACAAAAACAAATATGTTGTCTCTTTACATGCTGACTTTTTGAATGGACACTGTTTTACAGTCTAATTCTTGGCTAATCAAAGCCAACAAAATTAATTTTAATCCTTTTTTGTTTTCTGTTTGAAACAATTCAATTCATCATACTATGGACTTTCTTTTTGTATTTTTTTAATTTTGTCCTTGGTCTGTAAATTGATTTGCAGGGTGTAATATTTCTTCTTATATAAAAGAATTTAAACTTGGTTTTAAGCTCTACAGTATTGGCAGAGAGAGTTGGGGCTGTTCAGCCTGGAGAAGAGGAGGCTCTGGGGAGACCTTCTAGTGGCCTCCCAGTACCTGAAGGGGCTCCAGGAAGGCTGGGGAGGGACTTTGGCCAAGGGCAGGGAGTGACAGAACAAGGGGTGATGGCTTGAAAGTGGCAGAGGGGAGATGGAGATGAGATGTGAGGAAGAAATTGTTTGGTGTGAGGGTGGTGAGACAGTGTCCCAGGTTGGCCAGAGAAGCTGTGGCTGCTCCTCCCTGGAAGTGTTTGTGGCCAGGCTGGATGAGGCTTTGAGCAACCTGGTCTAGTGGAAGGTGTCCCTGCTGCTGGCAGGGGGGTTGGAACTGGATGAGCTTTAAGGTCCCTTCCAACCCAACCCATTCTGTGATTCTATGATTCTATTAATATATCAACTGGGAAATTCTTTACTAGTTGGCATAAATTTGCTATAAATCAGCTAAGTATACTGGAAAGGTGTGGATTTAAGTAGCTCTACCTCTATATTCCTTAAATTACTGATTTTGGTGTTTTCATAGGTCCAGGATGACAGAGAAAGTGTAGAATTTTGAATCCTAGCTCTTATGGTTGTAAATTTAACAAGAGAAGTAAAATTGCATACAGCTTTTTCTCATTTTTCTTGCTGGAATGGAGTTTCTACTGAACCTCTTTCCAAAAAACTGCTGATCTTGCGGGGGGAAAAAAAAAATCTTAGCCCAGTCCTCTGAACTGTGTTACTCTCTTGTCTGTGCTGCGGCCCCAGTGCAGCATATGGGGTGTCCTGTGCCCTCTAGCCACATGAGTGCTCAACTGCTCACCTGTGGCAAGATGAAGCAGATGTCAAGCAGATGTTGTATGGCAGATGTCACGGGCCTCTTTAGCATCCAGGCAACAGCTTTGGTCCTAACTGAGCACCTCTGTTAAAGAAATGGTATCCTTCCACTTTGCCCTCACACTGGATTGGATCTTATTTTCAGGAAGGACACCGTGAGGATATATTTTTCTGGCCCATCTGGAGAAGTTCCAAGGTGAGAAACTGCACTTGGGGTTATGCTGTATTCAGAGTTATGCTGATTCAAACCATCAGCTTGGTGTCACTATAAACCACTCCACCAACAGAACTGGTTGCCTCTGCTCTTGCATCTGGCAGAGCTGAATCCACCTGAACAAGGAGAAAAGTAACTGAGATAGCTGGTCTGCACAGACCTACCAGCCAGTTCCACAAAGGCAATGCCTTACTGCCTGTGGAAGCTTGAAGTGCTGTGTTGCTGCTGCAAAACTGCTGAAAAACAGTTGAACCTGAGGACAAATGAAGAAGACTTTACCCCTTCTCTGGCTGATTCCTGTGTTCTCCCTGCTTGTGCATACTTTTGAGGGAAGGATGGATTGGACCTTAATTAAGAAACTACAAGGCAATCTCTTGTTCTCTGATAGGGAACTCACTTTGCCCTGTGTTGTGCAGTCCTCGAGGGACCTCACAATATTTTGCATGCATGTGTAAACTGGCTCAGCCTTGCCCTGAGTCAACTAGAAACTGTTTCTGTTCAGATGCCTGAACAGTCATCTTGTGCTGTTGTAGGCAGCCTGGCACAGGTGGGTATATTTATCCCTTCCTGAGGTGGCACAATCCCACATGGAGACAAAACATCCTTTGTCTTAGTAGTGCCTTTGAATTGGGGCTCAGTTATCAAGTTGATTCAAATATACAGTGAAATCCCATGTGGATACCCCCTGTGATGGCTGCTCCCATCTCCTGGTGGAGCTCTTCTGGCTCTTGGAAATGACTTAACCTTGCATGGAATGGTTGGACAGAACACAGACCTTGTGGTTTCTTCCAAAAAAACTTCCAGAAAATACTAACCAGCTTCCAGGTCCTCATGTTTTCTGAAGGCATGTTAAAGGCCAAATATTTTGCTTGTTTGCAGATCTTTGGATTTGAGGTGGGAAGAGAATAAGGAACGCGTAACTCCAACTCGATCTGTGAAGTTATGGTAAGAGAAGGCATTGAAGTTCCTGCTGGTGAATGCGATTTGCAAATGACAGGTACTACAGAAGGACAAGAATAGCAGATGTGCTGGTCCTTGAGGGCAGAGGATATTTCCACATACAAAAAAGTTTGAAATAAACCTGAATCAGTAAATAAAAATAACAATAGAAATCCCTGTCTGGCCCAGCCAGTGGCTTTATTTCTTGCGTGTTGGGCTCTACAGGTCTGGAGAGGCAGAGTTCCCTTGATAATGCCCATCTTGTCGTATATTCTTATAGCTACCAAAGCCATGAGCCATATAGTTTTTTTTCTTGCCTGGGCTCCAGAAGAGAGTAGTGGCTTTCTCAAAATAGGAGAACTTGGGCATGTTATCTGAGCATGTTAAAGCTGGGAAATGTCCCTCCCTTACCCCCTTCTCCTTCCCTCACTACTCTGCACAACAGGAACAATTACATCCATCCCCTTCTCGTGGCTGGCAGTGCCAAGCAGCTCTGACACAAGGTGTTGCACCCACACAACACTCTGCAGGTGTGTCCCTCTCCACTCCTTGGGCTACAGAGAGACAGAGTAATATGCCCAGGATTGTGTGGCAGAGCAGAGAGTAGAACCTCCCTCTCTTGGCACTGCTTCTGTGTGCCCTCATTTGGAGAGAGACACCAGAAATGCCTGGGCCCCACTCTCCCCTCGCTGCTCATTAACCCTTCCTGTTCACAGCTTGCAGGATTGCAGCCTGTCTTCCCAACACGTAGAGGAGATCGTTGCCATTCTCCAGAGCTGTCCCTGTCTCTCCGAAGTGGAGTAAGTGCCTCCTTTCCTTCCTGTTGAGTGGCTGCAGGTGGATGGTGGGGAGCAGGGGATGTTACATGGAGAGGGCAGTGACACATGGGGCCTGACCCCAAGGAGGGGTCCTAGTACTCTCTATTATGTCTGGTGGGATCCTTGTTGGGGATTTTTGGTGAGGTTC